CATTTGTGAAGAGCTTTTGTTTAGATGCAAAATGTTGTACAAAGCTGTAACAAACAAATTTATTAAATGCTAAATTTTACATTTGTGATGTCACATTTTTTTAGATGAAGAATAGATTATTTTGTGTTCAGAGTCATGCTTTTTGATCAGATTCGTCGGTAAAGAGACCAGAAATGGCGAYTCTTTCATGTATGAGCTTTTTCGCTTATTTTTTATACCTTTTCACTATCTTTAGACATTTGAATATAGTTAATGGTGCCACTGAACCTTTGTTACAAAACAGGTTTTGTAAAAGCGAAAATTTCTTCACTTGTACAAATATAAAATTCAATCTAAAAACACCGGACGGCGGCCGGTGGCTCTTCACAACTCGTTACCTCAATAAGCGCGCGGGGAATGGCGGGAAAATCTAAAAATAGCACCAAGTAAATGCAAGCGATTTTATGGTCGGGTGACCACATGCAAACGCTTGTAAATTTGATCTTGTTCCTTTCGTTGTACCTCCGCTATAAATGGCACTAGGACACTGAAATTTGGAAGATAGCTACTTTTTTCCATGCGCGTCAAGGATATTTCAACGAATACGAAARATTCGAAAAAAAGTATTTTTCTAACGTCACACTTGAGTACTCCATTTTAGTGGCGAAATAAACCGTGCTTTATTATTGCCAAATATTTCAAAGATGAATTATTCACTAAACATTTAACGATGATAGTGATGGTAGATGGTTTGGTAGTGGATGCTTAAATATGTATCGTCTTTTCTTGCTATTATTTGAAATGATATTTGTTTTTTGTTTTGTTAATTTGTTTTGTTTTGTTTTTCAAGGAAAGGAGTAACTCGCGCTGCTTACCTTCCTCTACGAATCATACAGAACCAAGAGACCAAGTGCTTTCAAACTGCACCAGAAAAGGATGCCAAGTGGATAAGAGTTTGCGAAGATGGAGATGAAGACTGCTTAAACGAAACTTAATAGTTGGTAGCTTTATAGTAGATGCCGAAAAAATAGTACGTAAATCACTTTGCACGTGAAATAGTCTCATAGTATTATACAGAAGATTAGATATCAAATTAAACCTTCTTGAAAAGTATGTGTAACTACAAATATATTATCAAATTATTGCTATGCAGTTTAGCAGAACGATTTCCAGTCCTAGAGACGAGAAATATTAATGGACATTGCTAATGCATTTGGACACAGCGATGAGTGGACTAATGCTCGAAGATCCGGAACTATTCTGCCAAATTCAAGGTCGAGCACTCTAAGTTATAAGCTTATTCTCTCCTTCAAGKAACATACATCTATGTGACAGAAATAATGGTCAAAATAGGCATAAAAAGATACAGAAAATACTCAATCTCTAAATTATTTCTGAACTGTYCAAAAGTGACTAGGTGTAGTATTTTTTGGCGATCGTTACGTTCACATGAAAATGTTCTGTTTTTCCTATTCCGTAGCAGTTTCTGCAGAAACTTCATCAACAGCTATAATCGATTTAAGAATAGAATGTACCTAAAATTGGCTTGAAGTTTAACAAAAGACTTCCAACTTTTTCCTTTCGTCGAGTTTTACGACTTAGAAAGTTGATGAAAAGTTGGTTCCGTACAGCACAGGAATAAAGATGAAACGCGTTGGTATTCAAATATTGTACGTGTTTTCACCAACGCTTGAAGTTGTTTTTGGTGACATTCGAGCTGTTTTGGTCACATCATCCGCCATTTTCCTTTTTCCTTGTAGTTTGAGTTCAACCGCTCTTCATCATCTTATCCAAATTTTGTTTGATCGATGACGTACGTAATGAGAATATATATATGAGAGGTTTCAGCTGAAAAGGGGTCTTATTCATAAATATTTTGCTTTGGACTACATGTAAAACTGTTGCGTCATCAAAGGGGTCTTAATCTTTAAGACCCTTTTTAAGTTGCAACCCCTCAATTCAGCGTCACACTGTCGTTACCGTCATCAATTTGCGCTTGGCCAAGGTAAGGCAATTTACTTGGGTATTTTCGGCATTTATTGAGTCTGTAAAATGTACATTCTGTGTTCCTTTCAGGTCTCAATAGCACAGAAACTTCAATAGCGCTTTTCAGTGCTACCTCAGCGTCAAGCATATCGCGCAACAAGTCATTACGGTATAGGTTAGGGTTACGACCATTCTTGCTATTGAAGGACGAGNNATTTAAGGTCAGTTTGATATATATGAAATATGGCAGAGGGGGTCAGAATTATTGCAAACAGCTGTATTCACTTGAAAGAACATATTCTAATGAGTGAAATCTGAAAGTTTCAATGCTGTTGCATTTATGGGCCAGAAATTACACGTATTTGAAATTGCAAAGGTTTGCGTGAAAATCACTATTGAGGCCTTGCAAGCCTCGTTTTCAGGTTTGATACGTTTTAAGTCCTCGTGGCTCTACCTATATTTTACCATTTGAAACTAAAAATACGCCAATTCGCTAGATTA